TTTGTACACATCTATATGTGCATCTGCATGTACACAGATCTATAAGTATAAAGCAACATTTTCTTTCCCACAGAATCTTTCTGCTGAGCGCAAATGGCCAGAAGTAAACCAACGCGTACTGTACCCAATAAAAGAAATATTAGTCAGAATGGAAAACAGATTGCAGATTAACAGATATGATCTGATCCGATTTTGCAATTTTGTGTTTCTTTTATAACACTTAATGTTGTTAATGTTGGCATCGGAAGGGTCGTTGCTGCTTGGAATGCACACCCAATAGAAGGTTTGCATCAAATTATATGGACCTACATAGAATGCTCAATCTATACGACGTGAACGTGACGAAAAAACAATCGCAATTGTTGGAATCCAGTTTAAATTCTTTTTCGCATATAGACTTTTAATTGTTTTCAAGCAGAGTCCATGCATAGGTAGTTGTAACTGTAAAAGGAGTGTTTTCCATCACTTCAGAGTCGCGCCATTCGATAAGGAATTCAATCCATATATGACAAGCATATGTAATTTTAGCACTATAGGGGAGGGCTATATGCCTAGGGTGGGGGAGGCTTATATGTTGGGGCTTGGGGATCGCGAGAAAAAATAGCAATACAAGCTTATACAGCGCCTGCTACGCAGGCAAAATGTAATCCAGGACTAGATAACTGCAAACTAAGGTTTGTGCATGGTTGTTGTTGTAAACGAGAACCGTATTCGAAATTTTTAAGAAATGTAAGAGGCCGGCTTAAACGTTGTTTGCTAATTTTTCTTTCAGGTGTAGATAGTAAAGTTCCTAATGTAGTCGCTCAACGTACATCACGAGTTCAGGTATTGGATCCAGAGGTAGTACCAAGTGTTGACGAGGCAGTGCAAATGTATCTTCATGCAGGGGGAACAATAACACCTGAAAGCACATTCGGAGTTGATCCACTGGCAAATTACAACAACCTTATTCGAAGACAAGAGCAACTTTTCTCACAAAACATTGGATCATTTATTAATATTTTCAACAACATTATTAGTGGAGACGGGAACGCTTATGGAAACAGCTATATTATTTTTTCTTAACACAACAGTAAATCTATCGCCCTTAGGCTTAGCCGTCTAATAAACAAATGTGACTTTACATTATACTACGAATACATAAAACAATATAAAAAATAAAGACAAGAACTGAGAAAACACCGTCTGTTGTCTTTTTTTTAGGAATTGTATTACTATTAGTATATATCATTGATCACATGCAGTACTTAATATATAGTAGTGTTTAGAAAAAATACTGACCAACGGTAGATACTATGTTTTAATGTGTGTTGTTTTTTATTCACCTAGTCCAATAGGTAGTTCTTCATCGGACGCATCATTCCTTAAAGTTTCATTGTCACCGTATGGAATGGTGTCTAATGAATCATCATCGCTGGGGACGTTGATTTGACTTGGCTCTTCAGGCAGCGGCTGTTGCAGGAGAGATGAAAATTCACGCACAATTGGTATGGTGTTGTATTGCCTGTTGGTTCTGCACAGAGGACATTTATTGTTGTTCGTTGTCGTTGCCTTGTACCACTGCTCTACACAAGGGATGCACCCAATAACTGAGAAGCATGATGAGCAAGCAGCAGCTGGTAAAGTAGCTCTGTTGAGACATATAGAGCAATTAAATATCTTGCCCAACATCTCTTTGGCTTGTTCTTCCACGGTCAGATTAGGCGTAGTAGGACGACTAACACTGATTGGCACTAGGGGAACTGGTTCGTCGAAATCATCATCGGTAGAGTCGGAGACCAGTCGCTTGAGTTGCTCTATGAAATCTACTGGCTTCCTTTTCTTCGAATTGAGCTTCCTTCTAATGTTAGCAACTTGGTTTGCCCTTACAACTACTATTTTTCTGTTGCTTCTCCAAAATTGAGAACCTTTCATAAAAAAATAACATGTCATTAGAATCGAAAGTATTATAGAGGGAGTGGAGTGACTGACTGGCTATATTCCGGCAATCAGCATGCAGGGGACACGCAAAAAGGCTATGCCACTGCTGCACCATGCACATATATATACCATACTATCTCTAACTATACTATACCAGAGTCACTATACGGTTGGTGCATGTATTGTGCTTATTTGTGACTTTAATTTCACTGTTCAATTAGCTTACGGATCGCGCTCTATCTCAAGTGAGGGTGTCAAGATAATAGGCGAAAAAAATGTAATCTTTTTAACACTCATGAGCTTAGCACTTTCGCAATGTAAACAGTTGAATCACATTATATCATTGTTGCATATACCGTAGTTTCAATTGCTTTCAAGCGATTTTGAATATTATATCAGTCAAAATTGTATAGTTCACAAATTAGCTGTGAAAGGTGAAGTTATAAACTTTAATAAGCCCATACAGTGTATAGCTATATGACCACATTAAATCAGTTGCATGCATGGCTGCGACTTTGTTGTGGATAATATCATGATACAAATTGGATTGTGGCAAATATAACATTTCATACAACTGGACTAAAGAACAGTTTTAGGGAAATTTCACATTATTAAGCACCATTCTAGACTGAAAAACTGAGAAGCCTTCGTCCGCTTTAACTAGTCATTTTTTTCTAAAAAGTTAGCTTTTCGCATGCTTAATTAATGCCTTTACCTAATTTGCATATGGCTGACATATGCAAATCAGGCAAAGGCATTAATTAGCGTGCAAATAGCTGATTTTTTAAGAAAATATGCGAGTTTGTGTGAGTAGTTAAAGGGCTTAAACTAAAGCAAATTGTCTGAAACCCAACAAATCTTCCATCTATTAACTTAAAACATGATTAAAGCTTCTAAATGTCGTGCACTAGCCATTTTTAGTTTGTTGGAAAAGACAACACCCCCCCCCCCCCTGATTCACAAAATTTGAGTTCGAGAATTTTTTTCATTTTCTACATTATAAGTACCCAAATAAGCTATATAGATCAAAAACTGGATACTAGTAGCTGTTTTGCGAAATTAAAAGCAATTTCAAATGTGTTCAGTTTTTTTATACACCCTGTACTTATATACTATAGTCACTATACAGTATAGGTGCATGTATTGTACATATATGTGACTTTAATTTCAATGTTCTATCTGAAGTGGGGGTGCCAATTGCAAGATAATAGGCTTATAACAACTTGTAATCTTTTTAACACTGATAGCACCATTCCATTTCACACAGTGTACGGCTATAGCGTTCAGCAGTGAAAAATCCCCTTTCAATAAATGGGAAAATTTGGAAACTAAACACACACACCCCAAAAAATAGTCAGTTGCACTGTGGCCGTGACTTTGTTGTGGATAATATCCTGATACAAATTGGATTGCGGCAAATATAACATTTCATACAACAGGACTAAAGAACAGTTTTAGGGAAATGTCACATCATTGAGCACGTTTTGCTCGACTGAAAAACTGACAATATAGCGCTCATATCAACAATATCGCCTTTCATAAATAGTCCCGTAAATAGCAAAAGAAATAATCAGTTGCATAGCGTCCTATGCACGAGTTTTACTTCTTTAATTACTTTCAACTTAAATAAATTTTGCTGTATCTATAATATATGTATAAGTTAATAAAATTAGCATTTCAAACGAAAACGGACCAAAATGTAGGGTCACACATGGATTATATTAAATACCTGTTGTACTTTCGCCTGGCATCACTGGCAAATATTTGGCATCCAACAATTTTATGTCGTACCCAAGCTGACCTTTTATCAAATTTTCAATGCCACTCACGCTAGCATTCCACTCACGCTAGCATTCTGGAATTTTTCAGATACCTCGCCAACGCGATCGACTTCAATCAAAGTGAAAGACTTTCCACCCAGCCAGGGATTTGCTTGTCGAAGATTGGGCAAAGCTAAACCGTGGCCGCTGTAAACCTTGTCGAACGTTTGTATGAGGACCACAAGGTGGTGGATTCAACGAGGATCTTGCTCTTGCTGGCTGATACGACAATGGCAAGCCAATTGGTAGATTATGGGCAGGACTAGGATGATGGTTCTGGCTTGGCTGTTGCTGCAGGCTCACATGCGTCTATCATTCCAACGCCTCCGTTGACGATATATGTCTTGTCTAAGTTTTCTACTTCAAACAAGCTGTTTCTCTCAACTGAAGGAAGAATAATTTCTCCTTCTTCACAGTTAAGATAGATTCCTCTATTTATATCTAGCTTAAAAATCATAGCTAAATTACTAGTTGTCATTGAAGTAGGATGCAACTTCAACAGTCGACCCCCGAATTTGACTTTTACAGTTGCCATCGCGCTTTACAGTTGCCATCGCGCTTTACAAAAGTAATAAAATCGCAGAAAATCGAGCCTATTATTTGTGTAGTTGAACACGTGATCAGTGCACGTTACATGACTGGAGTAGGGATACAAGCAACGCCCCCTACCTCCTCCGCAGGCCTTTCAAAAAAATAAAATTGGTGGGAAACGAACGGAAAGGCCGGGGGGGTTCGGACTAATTTTCCAAAATGGCGGGAGCCACAAGCCAAATTATATTTAATATATCATTTTACCAGAACAATATTATTAAAGACTACTTCTGATATAGACCGCTTTTCGTATCCGCAATATACATAAAAACAGTGAACACTAAACAAACAAGCATACAGTGATTTATAAAGAGAAGCAGATAAATATCAGTTTATAATTTGCATATTGCAAACACGCATCGCTTTTATATTTCTATCACGTCGTATGTCAGGTATGCGGTCGTTTATCCACAAAATTTATTCCATTTATATTTGTCTTTTATACAGTGTAACTATTTAAATGCGTGTGTATATAGTCAAAACTGACATCCCATTTTGCCAAATGATAGATTCACAACGTCTATTATCACTGTCGCTTGTGCTTGTAACCCCCCCCCCCCAATATTATTTATGATATTCAAAATCGCTTGAAAAACAAAATATAGTTTCACGTGTAGAAAAAGGCGAATTTGTGTAACTTGATTTACCAAAGAGTGGGGATTCTATCTTCGCTAGTTCTATGATTTGACGTGATTCTGCCCTCACATTTACTGACCAAAGCTATCTTATCAGAATGTTTTAATGCGATATAGCACATGTATTCTACACTTTTAAAGTTCAAATTTATTTGAATGCAGCTGCATGGGGAAACATGAACAGCGCGCGCAGGAAATACAACACTCAGGAGGAAATACAACGTGCAGGAAATAAAAGTGATAATGCGGGGAAAATACTGTCTTTCGTATCATAAATAATACATTTCCTTGCTAATAGGAATTAATGTCTTCCATCTGAGACATGATAAGCAGGTTGCGGAAATATAAGTGCTGTCATACAAAGGAAATATCAAAAACATCTCTCTATGGTGCTGGTTGATTTTGCAAATGGTTACAAACAGACAAACACCCTATCTGGAGTTTAAATGTAATTGAAGTTAATTAATTGCTAATTTTGTATAGGCCTATCCGATATAAACAATATAAATGATATGACGAGGCAAAGGCGATATTTTTCACCAATGAGCACTATATTGTCAGTGTGAAATTTCCCTAAAACTGTTCTTTAGTCGGGTTGTATGAAGTGTTATATTTGCCGCAATCCAATTTGTATCATGATATTATCCACAACAAAGTCGCAGCCATGCATGCAACTGATTTAATGTGGTTGTATAGCTATACACTGTATGGGCTTATTAAAGTTTATAACTTCACCTTTCACAGCTAATTTGTGAACTATACAATTTTGACTGATATAATATTCAACATCGCTTGAAAGCAATTGAAACTACGGTATATGCAACAATGATATAATGTGATTCAACTGTTTACATTGCGAAAGTGCTAAGCTCATGAGTGTTAAAAAGATTACATTTTTTTCGCCTATTATCTTGACACCCTCACTTGAGATAGAGCGCGATCCGTAAGCTAATTGAACAGTGAAATTAAAGTCACAAATAAGCACAATACATGCACCAACCATATAGTGACTCTGGTATAGTATAGTTAGAGATAGTATGGTATATATATGTGCATGGTGCAGCAGTGGCATAGCCTTTTTCCGTGTCCCTGCATGCTGATTGCCGGAATATAGCCAGTCGGTCACTCCACTCCCTCTATAATACTTTCGATTCTAATGACATGTTATTTTTTTATGAAAGGTTCTCAATTTTGGAGAAGCAACAGAAAAATAGTAGTTGTAAGGGCAAACCAAGTTGCTAACATTAGAAGGAAGCTCAATTCGAAGAAAAGGAAGCCAGTTGATTTCATAGAGCAACTCAAGCGACTGGTCTCCGACTCTACCAATGATGACTTCGACGAACCAGTTCCCCTAGTGCCAATCAGTGTTAGTTGTCCTACTATGCCTAATCTGACCGTGGAAGAACAAGCCAAAGAGATGTTGGGCAAGATATTTAATTGCTCTATATGTCTCAACAGAGCTACGTTACCAGCTGCTGCTTGCTCATGCTTCTCAGTTATTGGGTGCATCCCTTGTGTAGAGCAGTGGTACGAGGCAACGACAACGAACAACAATAAATGTCCTCTGTGCAGAACCAACAGGCAATACCACACCATACCAATTGTGCGTGAATTTTCATCTCTCCTGCAACAGCCGCTGCCTGAAGAGCCAAGTCAAATCAACATCCCCAGCGATGATGATTCATTAGACACCATTCCATACGGTGACAATGAAACTTTAAGGAATGATGCGTCCGATGAAGAACTACCTATTGGACTAGGTGAATAAAACAACACACATTAAAACATTAAAATATAGTATCTACCGTTGGTCAGTATTTTTTCTAAACACTACTATATATTAAGTACTGCATGTGATCAATGATATATACTAATAGTAATACAATTCCTAAAAAAAAAGACAACAGACGGTGTTTTCTCAGTTCTTGTCTTTATTTTTTATTTTTTTATATTGTTTTATGTATTCGTAGTAGAATGTAAAGTCACATTTGTTTATTAGACGGCTAAGCCTAAGGGCGATATATTTACTGTTGTGTTAAGAAAAAATAATATAGCTGTTTCCATAAGCGTTCCGTCTCCACTAATAACGTTGTTGAAAATATTAATAGATGATCCAATGTTTTGTGAGAAAAGTTGCTCTCGTCTTCGAATAAGGTTGTCGTAATTTGCCAGTGGATCAACTCCGAATGTGCTTTCAGGTGTTATTGTTCCCCCTGCATGAAGATACATTTGCACTGCCTCGTCAACGCTTGGTACTACCTCTGGATCCAATACCCGAACTTGTGATGTACGTTGAGCGACTACATTAGGAACTTTACTATTTATACCTGAAAGAAAAATTAGCAAACAACTTTTAAGCCGGCCTCTTACATTTCTTAAAAATTTCGAGTACGGTTCTCGTTTACAACAACAACCATGCACAAACCTTAGTTTGCTGTTATCTAGTCCCGGATTACATTTTGCCTGCGTAGCAGGCGCTGTATAAGCTTGTATTGCTATTTTTTCTCGCGATCCCCAAGCCCCAACATATAAGCCTCCCCCACCCTAGGCATATAGCCCTCCCCTATAGCGCCGCACGACACGTTGAAGCGATGCACGTACTTGACGACGACTGAGACAATGCCCTTTGCTATTTACATATCCAGTCATCATTTTCCGACCATAGGATGCTCCCAACTACATTGATATTTTCCCAATATTATCGTAAACGTTTGCTCAATTATATTGCAGCTGTACGTACATATTAAAAGCCCACATATATCAATGAAATGGGGTTTTCTAAAATGATCACAGGCAACCATGAGAATAATCATAATAGAGACTGATCGTCTAATATAATATATAATATAGATTTGTAAATTCTGAACACTGATTGGCTAAGAGCCGTGTTGATATAACTCAATGTCAATACGGGAAATTTTCCGCCGCTTGTAAACACGGAAATTTTTATTGTCCTTCGGGCTTTTCACATTGCTATATTATAAAAAAAATTATTTGTCCGTTTTGATATATAGTTATATCAACACTCATGGAAGTTTAGAGGAAAACTCGAAATTGTATGAAAACACTCCGCCCTTCGGGTGTCTTGTTTCCATACAATTTCTCGTTTTCCCAATTCCACTTGTCGGTTGATATAACTGTATATCAACACGGAAAATGTTTTGTATTTGTTAAATATCAAATATAATATCAAATATAATATCAAATATAATATAATATATATATTATATTATATTATAATATATAATTATTATAACTAGTTGCGTTAGCTCGATATACCACTAGATATACCATTTCTCAATTTCAATTAATTATGAATATTAAACTCTTTTGCCTTCACAATATTACCAACGCTAAACGTACACATATCTATTGAAAATAATCAGTTACGGCACACAATACCTCACTGATAGACTGTTGAATAATGGTGTCCACTTCAAAATTGTCCAGTTTCCTTATTCCACGCTTTGAACAGAATAACCGAATATTTCTCTCCGAGAAACCTCGACTAACCCCAGGAAAATGCTGCTTGAAAATGTCGCTAATCTGCCGATAAGTGTAATTCTTTTGAACATAGTTTTTAACATCTTCGATATTTTGCTCCAAGTACTCCGCCATTTTGATTTACTGAACAATAAGCGGATAAATTATGCTGCTTTTTGAATTGGTATACACTTAAATTAAACGCTATGCTTTAACGTGTGTTAACGCGTTAACGCAGTTGATAAAATTCCAGACCTGTTTTAATCCGATTGAGTATCAACAGATTAAATAAAAAAGGGTACCCTTTTTCGTCTTATTATAAAGGATCATATTTTACAGAAAAGGGTACCCTTTTTCATATTACTACGTAAAGAACATAGTTGACCGAAAAGGGTACTCTGTTTCGTCTTATTACAAAACAACATGGTTGACAGAAAAGGGTACCCTTTTTTGTCATTTTACAAAACGATGCAGTTGAGCGATAATCGTACCCTTTTCAGTTATTTTTATGGAGATTTGATTTGTATAAATTCGTTAGATAATCTGCTTTTTCGCCTTTAAATTGAAACTTGGATTGACGTAAAAGGGTAATTAAAACGAACCAATTCCCTTATCTCACAAATCTCAAAAAAGGGTACTCTTTTATGAGAAATAAGGTAGGGCTTTTAGACATTTTTCAAAAATAATTTATGACATCAAAAAGGATATGCAATTTTGTGTTATCGATAAGAAATATGTGAGTTGAAAGATAGATTTGCTGCAAATTTAACTTTCAACTTTCAGAATTTTCTCGATTTTAGAATTGCCGGAACCGTCCACTGATTAATGATGATCACATGGTATTATCAAAAAACACAAAAGCATTTCAGACAGAAAAAGTATCAAGTGTACATTAAGATGACAATAATGATGTTATTTGGGGACATGTTATTTGACTAGTCGACAAGATGCACTGAAGAGACTTATGAGTATCTTAAGGATTACAACTGACCTGTATTTGCCGAACTTGTTCAAGAACCAGAAAACGTGAATGATAATTTATGCAGTGGCAGTTTATGTCATGGTTTCATGTGAATACAGGAAGGTGGGATATATTGTGAGGGAATTAACTACATGTCTGATGCCCATTCTAAAATATTTCGATGTTTCAGTAAAACACGTCTGCTTCAGCACTACATTTAGTACTATTGGTTTTTACCTTACCCTAGATATAACTGAAAAGCGAAGGTGGCATGAAAATGTAGTTAGTGCAAGCAAGAAAGTGAAGTAGATTAAACTCATTAAAGTTAAAATTGTGTATATATTTGTAAAATTTTACTGTAAAATACATCTTACAAGGAAGGTCTAAGTATTTCACATTTTCACTGCGAATCACAGAATTACTGATGTCACATGCCATTTCTTCCAGACACTTTCAAACTTAGTAATTACAAAATGAATTTACAAAATAATTATGTGGGGAGTTCTTTTGAAGAATTGTCCTATTCGAATATAACTTGTAAAGGTAGTAATTCAACTGAAAGCTTTACAAAATGTTACTCTCACTGTTAGTTGACCACGTTGGCAAAGATAATCTGTTTGCCACAGAGACTCCACGATCACCTCTGCAGGAAAATTCTTTCTCCAACCTTTTAACAATTCCAGCACCAGTAGGCTTGTTAAACAATGGCAGCTCAAAATCTCTGTATTGATTTTTCATGCCTGTCCAATGAGAAAATGCCAATATTTGGATTGATTCTTTTCTTGAACTCATTCAGAATCTTTGTCGATTCACTGTAAAATGTCATACCTAACAAATACACAACACTTTGTGTAAGAGTGCTACAAAACCTTTGACGTCATACTGGATGATGTGTTTGAGTGCTCTCGACGTAAACCTCTTGCAACATATTCTTTTCTCAGAAGTTCATGACTTTCCAAATTAGCGGTAAGCTCAACAACCAGCTCATGTGTGCGACCACAGATACCTTTGATTGGTCTGCAAACACATAGTTCATTTGTCTAGTTTAAATAACAATTAACAAACTTCACATTTGACTTCCACTACCACTGGAAGATTAACGAATCTGGTTAATGGTAGCACAAGCGGTAGTCAAACTCAAATGTTTCTCATATTAGGTCAGCATTTTGGACTGGGGGGGCTTATTAGAATGGGGGAAGCCTAAAGATGCTGGATAAATAAACGAAATATGGTACTTGCCGGTTGACATCTAGATAAGAATAATCACTGTCAGTCTTGTGCCAGGGCATCCAATCATCCAGAATCCAGTCTTTCATCCTGTTGAAATAGCTGGAACGCATTTCTGGAACGTATTTCCAACACTCTTCCTTCACTGATGTAACCATGCATCTTCAAAAACTGCATGACACCCCGTGAAAAAATGTGCTCCCAGTCTGGGACAGACTGTATGTTCTTCCCAGTGAGGGCCTCGTAAGTTAATCCGGTTGAAAGAAAACATTGGTCATTAGGTCATTTTTTTTCCAGATAACGGTCATTAGGTCAATGTATCATTGTGGACAGTCTCTGCAACGTATCATGTAAATTGCATTTCATTTTTCTACAGTGATTGTTTTATCTTTGTGTTTAGCGAAGTATGATCTAAGTTTACGAGTCGGTTTGTGTGCTACATCAATGTTAAAAGGTTGTAATAATCTGGCGGTCATTTCAGATGTACTGTTTATGCAAGGCAAAGAAATTCTCGTCTTACGAATTTCAGGTTCTTGGTGCTGTTTGTTTTGTGATTCGTTGTTGGTTGTACGTGTCTTGGTTAGTACTTTGTTGATAAAATTCCTTGGGTAGTTGTTCTTGATAAACGTTGAGTAAAGGTAGTTACGTTCTGCTTGTTTTGCTTGTTCTGTGTTACAGTGTGTATCAATTTGGTTGAGTAAGAATTTTTATACAACTTATTTTGTGTTGAGTTGGGATGGTTACTGTTATAGTTTAGTAATTGATCAGTATGTTTTCTTTTGATAAACCTGTGTTTGTATTGTGCCGTCATCAGTTCTTGTCAAAAGAATGTTGAGGAAAGCGAGTTGGTTGTTTTGTTCATCTTCCATAGTAAATTTAATGTTTTCTGTAGTATTGTTTATTGTCTGTAAAATTTCGTTTGTCTTGTCTTCTTTTGCTGTAGCAAGAACGTCATCTACATATCTGTCCCATGTTTTGATGTTGCTGTTATTAGTTACGGATCTCTTTTCTAGATCTTGCATCACTGCTTCAGCAAGGAAACTAGAAAGCGGAGATCCCATAGGTGTACCAGAAATTTGACTGTAGTAAGAGTTTTGGAAGGAGAATTCAGTAGAAAGACATAGGTCAAGTATGTCATTTTTGTCTAGTCCAGTTCTAGTTTGCCATGAATTGTTGTTAATAAGCAGTTCATTTGTAATGCGTTTCGCTGTGTCTAGTGGTATGGAAGTGAAGAGAAAGACAACATCAAAAGATATCATGATTTCGTCAGGTTCAAGTTTGAATTTCAATCCTTAATTTTAGTTAGGAAGACATTAGCATTGTTATTAATAGTATGATGTGATGTTTTAATAAGAGGATGAAGAATTTTAGCGAGAAATTTTGATAATTCATAGTAGGGTGATCCAGGGAGAGATACAATAGGTCGTAGGGGAATCATTTCTTGGTGTATTTTTGGCAATCCGTAAAATTTGGCAATTGATGCGTTGTTTGGTCGTATTCTGTTGTAGATAATCTTATTCAATTTGTCTTGATCTTTGAGATGTTTAAGTTTTTGGTTAATATGATTAACTGTTATCTTGCTAGTGTTACTGTCAAGTGGTTGATAAGTTTCTGTGTCTTTATCAGTGTAATCTGATTTGTTCATAATGATTTTGTCATACGTCCTTTGTCAGCATGGGTAATATAATAATACAAAGTGACTATATGACCGGCAGCCGGTCACGGTTTATCCAAATAATAAATGGCCGGCAGTCTAGTGACTATAGTTGAATATAAAGACTTTTGTTTGCGTTAACTTTTACTGAGCTTGCCATTAGCTCATACGGCAAGGGCGCTGTGTGCGGAAAGTTAAACGGGGTCGGGATGTGTTTTGTCTGACTTAGCATTGTTTTTTCTTATAATTTTTTAAACTTTTTTTCCGGCTTTTCTAACTCTCAAAAGGTTAGGGGTTAGGGTTAGAAAAGGGTTTGGGGTTGGGGATAGGTTTATCTTATAAAAATTCAACTTTAACAATAGTCACTAGACTGCCGGCCATTTAGTATTTGATAAACCGTGACCGGCTGCCGGTCATATAGTCACTTTGATAATAATACTATCGTCATCTTGTAGATCCTTCATGGCTTTTTGTTCTTGATTGTTGTTGAGGTTCATAGGTCGTTTTTTGCAAAGGTTGGTGGTTATTTGGTGGCGAATATGTCCTTTGGTTTCTTCAGTTAGAATCTGCATTAATGAACACTGAACTAAGTCTGCTATGTAATCTAATTTTATTTGCATCTTTCGCATTGTAATTTAATCCCTTTGCCAGAATGTGCTTGTTGTTAGGTGAGTGGTCTGTCTGAGATATTTTTATTGTTGCTATGGAGTTGTTTGTATGATCATGAGTTTTTTAATTTTCATTCAAGTTCATTGTGTCGTCTTGCTTTGTATACATTTGTTGTTTGTTTAATAGCAGTATCCAATGATTTTGCATCAGCTGTGCTGATTTTGCGTCAGCTTCAGCTTTAATACCAGTATCTAATGATTTTGCGTCAGCTTCGGCTGTCAATTGCCATCATGAATAAAAAAATTTTGGCTTCTCTAAGCAGATTACTATTGCAGTTGGCTATGAATTAGCTAATGACCTGTGAGTCTGCTTGGCACTCTCTATATATGATATCCTGAGGGCACCTTTCGTACACAGACTGCGCACAGTCCCTTCGATATTAACCTTGGTTACTATGTAACCTCATTTAATATCTGTCGTCACCCGTGATTAATTGTAAAATAATTCTGATGAAGGCTCAAAGTACCGAGTTGAAAGCTCAATAAAAATTTATTATCAATCTGGACACTTTCACAAATCATAATATGCCTGGATTACAAATATTTAATCATATATATATATATATATATAATCAAATTTTCACAATGTAGAAAGACTCCCCAATACCATTTATTAATGTAGAGCAAATAATTAATTTTGTTTACTTAAAATATAGTCACCACTCCGAGTTTAATGCTCAATGCAATCCTCAGGCGATGATGTTTAAGTCTCGATTAACAAATTCCTGTATGATTATGTGAAAGTTTGTTAGATTACATGTGTGATGATATTGCGTGCACACATTCAAATTTTCCTGCCATGAATTGCTTCCTGTGGCAGCATTTCGAGAATAGCTCGCATCTTCTGTTCAACAATCTTTTCTTGTCACCTTTCAAAATTTCCAGTTTCTCTGAAGGCATAGGTTGCAACTCTTTGTGCCTCTGCGATAGGATGATGCTTTGGAATGGACCCACTTGATTTTGAATTTTTGTTTCTTGCTCTTCAAGTTACAGATGTGCTCGGACAGCTCAGTGAATTTAAGAGCGGTTGTCTGTAATAGTCAGGTAAGACATGTAAAATGAGAAAATTCAAAATCTTTCAAACTTTGTCAGAATGTAGGCCTATATGAAGTATTAATGTTGTGAAAGTTTTATTTCGATTGGATAAATATTGAAGGAGAAAGACGTCGAAATTGGTTTTCCCAGGCCACTTTCGATTTTTAGAGGTCATTTTACGGCACTACCAAAATTGCTCTATTTTGCGCGTTAATGGGAATATTTCACAAAACATGATTTCGTTTTATAAATTAGAGATATTTATTGATTAGCAGACAAAATTTAGAGACATTTCTGTAAAAAGTGAATATTTTACAGATTTTCTTAATGTTTTTTATTTTCGAACCTCTTTATTATATGCCATATTAGGCAGCGAATATCTCCATTGTTACATCGATTCAGACAAAAAATTCCTAACCAGATCAAAGAAATATGTTTTCCTTTGCTATTGATCAAATAAAATTTTGGGGCAACTTAGAATTGAATTTTTGACGAATTTTTTTCATAACCCCTATTTGACCCGAATAACCGTATGTTATGTAATCAACGTCGAGTCATGTAGTTCTATAAATAACCAAAGAGCTCGTCAAAGGCGTTTACCTCTTCGAGTAAACAAGCCTAGGCCTATAAAACTACCTTAGCTAAAGCTGTACGATTGGCAGAAAGCATTTAGGTCTAAATCACACTGTTTACAGTCGCTTATTGTTCAGGTAATGCCTATAATATATTGTATAGCCGGCGCCGCTGATTTGGCGGTTTGGTTTTAATTATATTTTATCGGGAATATGCCACGATAACTATAGCAAGTGTATTTTCTCTCCCCTTCCCATAAACATCTGTTCTTTCACGACTCGACGTGCTTATAACTTTTCGAACATAAATATAGTGCACGCGCTTTTTGTCAAAAACATCGGTCAGTTTACATTGAAATTGTAATTCGTTTACTTACAGTAATTAATTTAATTAATATTAAAGCTGATTCTTTCACCGTGATGTCATGCCAAAAGGTGTCTTTTCTATTTTTAAAAAAGACCCTCTGTTCATTTCTGATTTGGTAATATTTACTACGGTTGTATGTCTTGAATATTTGATTATTTTGTTGTTGCTCAATAACTTTAGTCAAACTTCAGACCAAACTTCTACGCACTGTTACTTA